TATATATATATATATATAAAGTTCCTGCTTTTATTTAGAGTGACAGGTGACAGGTTGGAATTGTGCTTGCTCAGATCAGTGGATTTTAGTGGTTGTGTGCAAGGACTCTGGAACCAGACTGCAAAGCTTTGATCCCAGCTCTGCCACTTGGTTGTGGGGCTCTGAAGAAATTGCTCCACCTCACTGTGCTTCTATTTCCTCCTTGTGAATGAGAATAAAGCTGTACCTGTCTCCACGGGTAGCTGTTGAGAATAAAGGAGTTAAAATAAGTTAGAGCATGTAGGGCAGTGGCTGCCACGTGTTTTTATTCTGCCAAATCTGTGAGGAAGAGTGGCTGGCCCATGAGGCCTGGAGGGGAGCCAGGTGAAGGGCCCTGCTTCAGGGGGTCCTGGGTGGGTATTACATTCTAGGACTCTGAAGGAACAATGGGAGGTCTATTTTCATTGCCTCAAAGACCCATCAACGGCTGTGAAGATGCAGCCGCCCTGAGCAGTGCTCGTCAGGCTAAACAGAGCAGCTCTAGGCATCCTTCTGACCTGATGCTGCCCCACAGTCCTGGCAGTAGACACCCTTTGGAGAATATGATCCACAGCTTCATTGATGGGTCCTGCCTGTCCCTGAGTAGGTCATATCTTTGTGCAGGGACTTTAGCCAGCCCTGGTCACTGGTGCTGATTCACTCACTCTGCCCTCACTGACTAGTTTGTAGGGGTCCCATTTACAGTATTGCTGACAGTTGGGACTCTCTACACATGAGCAGATTCAAAACTCAGCCCTCTGGGTCCTTGCATAGCCCTTAGGAGTCCAAGAAACAATAACAGTAAGTGTAGAAGATGACATACTTTGAAGAAGAATCTTGAAGCAACTTTAAAAAAAAAAAAAAAAAAGCCTCACTGCTCAGATGTACTTGGAGTCACAGGGTCGGCAGCTGCTGCAGAGAACAGTGGCTTCCAAACTTGCTTTTGACCTCCAAAGCCATTTCTCAGTTGCAATTCATCCAGGAGCCCAATACATAAAAAACACAAACAGGGCTCTAGTGGAAACAGCACCCGAGCTGCCTACTTGGCACCCTTTCTCCTCCCCCTGAGCCCCTGATGGCACTCATGGCAATTCTGAGGACCCCTAGGGCTCCACAAAGCACTGACAGAAAACCACTAACCTAAACCAAGTTTCCCAAGTAGAGATGGGAAAAAGAGCCCACAGGAGCCAGGCCTCGAATGGTGCCTGAACACAGACCTCGTTTTTAGACTCGAGGCTAATGCTTTTTGCCCTACTCTGCTAGGACTAGATCTATGGAAAGCTGAAATTTAAAGAAACAAGGCTTATTTCTGGTCACCTCCAACATAATCCTTAAGTATTTTAAAGGCCCCTAAACCAGCCAAGTAGGAAACAGAGCCTAGCCCCATAGATTGGCAGAAGGAAGGTCGGAAATGAGTTGTAGAAGCACATCTGACAATTCCATACAGTTTCCATCAGTTCTGTGGGACATAAACAGGTCTTGAAAGGCTTGGGCTTTGTGGCTGCGAGAGACCTGGACCAGGAGGGCCAGGAGGTGAATGCTAATGAGCTATGGAAATAGCAATTACTTCCCCCATGTCAGGCACTGTGCCAAGCAAAGGAGAATAAAGAGGACTGAGATATTTTTAAAGTATTTTTACAGCAGAAAAACTTTCCTACAGACTCAATTATATAACTATCAGACTCCACCTCTGAGCTGAAATTATCCATGGCCTCAGAGATGAAAAAAAAAACGGCAAGCAAAAAGTCATTTTTTCCTACATGAGGGTCACAGGTTCCTCCCGAGAAACTCTGAGCTATATGGCCAGTGACCCAGGGCAGCTGCAAACCATCAGTCCAAAGAGCTTCCCAAGGGCAGTATGGAGTCTGCCAGAGACAAATACCGGCCAAGTGGAGGGCAAGAGTCACATGCTGACCCCCGGCCATCATAGAATAGCGCCCAGGAAGAGCCATTTTAGGGGCTGCCAGCCCCAACCACATCAGCATGGTCACCACTACTCCCTTGGACCAAAATGGGGCTGGGGTCATTGAGCCACGAGGATGCCCAGAGGATGTTCCATGCATTCACAATAACTCTGTCCTTGGCAAAGTGCAGATGGACAGAGAAAGCCAGGGGCTTAAGCAACACAGATCTTCACTAACAAAACGACAGCTGAAATCAAAGGGATAGACTTAGGGAGATTAACTTACAGCCCAGGTTTTTGTCAGCCTGAAGATGGGAGCGCTTTGTAATGCTGACACCACAGACATGAGAGAATGAAGGTTGTTGAGTTCTAGAAGTTTCTGGGGGGGAAAAAGATATGGAATACATTATTTTGCTGCTATAAACAACAGAACAAGAACATGCCAAGTGTTACCAAATGTTGTCATATTCATGAAATTCAATTACACTTAAAAATATCTCATGTAGAAAATATAGTTCTAGGAAGTTCATAGGAACCATATGCTTTTGCTCTCAAATTGTCAAAAGGTGAGTCTGCATCTAAAAGGCTTGCAAAATTTCATAAGCTGACTCGTCTGGTTGCTGGACAGAAATGTGGCTCAGGATAAGATTTGATAATCCCTTTATGGTCTATTTTTAGATGAATCTGTCCCAACAGGCTTCTGTAAGCTAAAATCCTGGCCGTGCCAACAGTATCAGCGGTTCTTCTGCCATTACCTTAACGCCCGGATGAGAAATGGCTGAGGGAAGATGTTAGCCATCTGCGTAATCCCTCTCAGCTGGGAAGGCAAGCTATTCACCATGCTCCCTTGAACCAGACCCCAAATTAGTGAGAACATTTGGAGTCAATTCAGACTCAGACAAGTTCCTTACCAGGAAGGGCAACAGAAGGAGACATAGTAGAGAGTAAATGCAGAAAAATGTAAAGGCTCTGTTCTTGGTTTTATGCTGAGGGATACGGCTCACATGACAAGGTTCCACTTTTCATTCTTGGGAGACAGTGAAGCCTGGGCTAGCGAGTAGGTTCTATGGGACCCGCAGGCCTGGTTCCAATCCCAGCTCCCACTCTGCATTTCCTTCGACAAGTTACCCAATCCTCTGCACCTTGATGTCCTCACAGGTAACATGGGGAAGGTGATAAAGGCACTTGTGCTGCATGAGATGGTGCAGCCTGGGCTGGGTGGTGTGAGGTGGTCTCAGTCTTTTCTATCTGGAAGACTCATCTTCCCTTTGCTCATTCCTCGTCTTGGGTAATTCCTGGCTCAGATACCACTTCCTCTAATATGGTTTTCCAGACCAGATTCCCAAATTTATGGTGGTGGGAACTCCATCTGTGTTCCCACACTCTTTGTATTCTTCACATTCTAGATTGTACTTGCTTTTTATTTGCCTCTCTCTCACCCTGAACAGTGTGTCCCCTGAGATATCATGTCCCTGTACCTAGTTCAGCACCCAGCACATAACAGGTAAAATGAATAAATAAACGAAAAGCCCTTGTATCTGGGCCTCATAGCTCTATTCTTACTTGGAAAGTTTTCTCTGACCACACAGATTAATACTTCAGTTCACACATCTTGTAACAATTTCTAGTTGTTTCCTGTGTGAGAACAGATTCCCCGAGTGAACTGAACTGCATTCTAGTATCTGAATTGCCATGCCTATCACTGAATTTCCTCTCAGTGCCAAAGGCATCTGGGAGTTTATCTAACCTACCTCTTCTAATTTATAGATGAGAAAACCAAGGCCCAAAGAAGGGAAGGGGCTTGCCCAAGGACATACCCAGCATGTGGGGCCAGCATGACAATCTACAGTAAGGAAAAGGGTGGAGGTTAATGACAGATCATCTGGGACTCCTTAGACGGGGGCCATAAACTCATTTCCAAACTGTAAGCCCCAGGAGGGATTAGAACTACAGCCAGATATCTTTTCTTCTGCCCATCATAGCACTGACTGACAGCAATAAGTATTATTAAACCCAGTGACAGTCCCAAGTACTTCAGGAGAATGAATGGGACATTTGGTGACCATTGCTCCCAACATCTTTATAGACTGATGCACTTAACCTTCCCCTGAAGGGCGGCAGGGCTGCTCCCCCGAAGGCAGAGATATGGCTTTTATTCCTACTCTGCTGCTGACTCTCTGTGGGGCCTGGGCATGGACACTGCTCTCCAAGTCTTCTTCCTCTGCAAATTGGGTGGTACTAATGTGAGCCCTGAATGCAATCAGCTGAATGCAGCTCTTTGCGGCCTGTTCAGGAGGGCCTGGGTGGGAAGAGGACACACGCATGCACAGAGCAAGGGGTGAGCCCACTGCAGCAGGCACAGGACAGGGAGCTGGGCGTGCGGAGACACTCCTGGCCTGAGAGCAGCCTGGGAAAGCACCAGGATGGCCCAGCTGGGGCTGGAACAGATGGAGGAAGAAGAGGGGAAGTCGGGGCCAGATGAGCAGGCAGGGTGGACTACACCAAGCGGGGCACTGGAGGTGGAAATGAAGGGCACAGGGTCATCTTGCCCAGGCCTGAGCTCAGGATGGAGTGGAGCAGACTCTGCTGACTAGTGACATAACTGTGCAGGATGTGAGTAGATCACAGGCACTGATGCTACCTAAAATCATTCAGACCCAGCAATTCCAAATCCGATGGAAGAATGAACAGAGTCCAGGGGGCACCACAGGACCTTGGGAAAAGAGTGCAAGCCCAGTAAGGAGAATGGCTGGCTGCCAACATCATGAGATGGAGAAGCATGCTGCTGATGCACATGCAGGTACCAGGGCATAGGCAGCAGGGTGGATCTCAGAGGTGGCTCTACCTGGGGAACTCAGGCCATAGTCCCCACCCACCATTTCAACCCTGTCCTGCAGGCCCACAGAAAAGCACTTCCCAAATACAGTTAGACAGACAGACACATGGTCAGCCTGTGTGCACATTTTTGAGACAAAAACAAGGAGGGGGGAGGGAGAAAATAATAATAAAACAGCTTACCTTGGCTATTTTCACAAAATGGCTGAGGATTTCTGCTCTTATTTTTAAAGTCTGTGCTGTTAGAATTTCTCGAACAACCCAAAAACTGACCTGTAGAATCAAATACACACACACACACACACACACACAACCAGAGAAGTTGTTAAATGCCAGACACCCATCACCCTTGCCCACTACTGCTGTGAGATATCCATGAGACTGGGAAGCTGGGAGAGCATGGCCCAGGGTCATATGAGGTGAAGGGCTCCTTGTGGCACCCGATCCTGGATGGGACCCATGTTCTCAGCACCCACTCTCCGCACATACAGCAGTGCTGGGAGAAGCAGGCATGTCTGTGTACACCCAGGGGAGTACTGGCCTCCATGACATACCAGTGTCTCTGCAGGTGCTGCAGGGAACTGAGAAATGAATTGGGCTGGACACCTGCTTAGAAGGATCTGATGCAGGATGACCATGGATGATGGGAGGACAGTTGGACAGACAGACACATGGTCAGCCTGTGTGCACTGACAGTACATCCACTAGGTAGGCCCAAGACAAGGAGGATTCACTGAAAATGTGTGCAACTGCCACAAACTTAATTTTCTAAGAAAGGTTGTCCAAGAATAAATGATACAAAAAGTCTTTCCAAATTCTGAGCAGTGCAGGTTGCAGCTATGACTTCCTGGAGACAGCCTGTGCCTAAAGGGCATGCCAGAAGCTGTGGTTCAGAACCTCATTCATGCTTGACCTCTCACATCGAGCCACAGCCCCAAATCCCTGGGTCTGGTGGGAACAAGAAAGTCATCTATCAGTGTAGGGCTGACTCACAGTACCTCAAGGAAACAGAGGAAAGGGTCAGCCAAGGAATGCTGGGAACTGGCTGGCCTTCTGGCTTGTGTTTCAGGGTGTTTCACTATCGCACAACGTGTGATGCGAAACACGAACACCCAGAGTGCTAAGAAAGGTGGGCCAAAGGATGGGGGGGGGCGAATGGCATGAGAAGGAAGGCAAGGAGTCTGAAACCCTCCATTTTTAAAAAATATTTTTTAGTTATCGATGGACCTTTATTTATTTATATGCGGTGCTGAGAATCGAACCCATTGCCTCACACATGTAGGCAAGCATTCCACCACTGGGCTACAAACCCAGCCCTGAAACCCTCCATTTTATAAGGAAAAAAAAAAAATGAAGGATGACCCAGAGTTAACAAAGCAAGCCCACTGCTGCGATACAGTACAGTCTTGTAACAGAAATACTGTTACTTTTCCAAAAGAAAACAAGGAAAGAAAAACCCAGAATCACCAATTTGCCTTTTATATTAAGCAGGAGTATTATAGAAATGTTTTCTTGGTGTAACGATCTGTGGTTGCCTCCAGGACACGCCTGGGTTTCCATAGAATCATTTTTTCCATGGATTTGTCAAAATTAAGTTCAGATTCAAATGTTTACTAGCCAGTTATGGAAGAAAGTGTTTCTGGATAGCAAGCACTCAGCCCATAACCTTGTATGTGACTATGTATGCTCTTCTATGCCACATAATCTCAAGTGCGATACTTTATATGTATAATCTAATATAGATTCCTACATGCCAAAACGCCACACATTTTTCTAGCCTAATTATGGGAGGTGGCAGAGCTGACTTTGGATCTGCAGCACATAGTTTGCAGGGGAAGATCCAGGTCAACAGTTTGATTCAACAGAGCTGCCTGAAGCCCCAGTGGGTGCAGGCTCCAGAATCCATGAGTCTAGAAGAGAATATAGGTTTCTTATGTGGAGCATTTCCAGATTGGCTTTTTTCATTTAAGATTCATCTCTATTTTTTATTTTAATTTTTAAAATATTTTTTTGGTTGTAGATGGACACAATACCTTGATTTATTTTTATGTGGTGCTGAGGATCGAACCTAGTGCCTCACAAGTGCAAGGCATGTGCTGTACCACTGAGACACAACTCCAGCCCCTCATCTCTATTTTTTTAGTTAACTATTTATTTATTTATTTGGTGCCAGAATTGAACCCACAGGCACTTAACCACTGAGCAACATCCCCAGCCCTTTTTATCTTTTATTTTGAGACAGGGTCTTACTAAGTTGCATAGGATTTTGCTAAGTTGCTGAGGCAGGCTTTGAACTCACAATCCTCCTGCCTCAGCCTCCTGAGTCGCTGGGATTCCATCTGTATTTTTACATGACTTGATAACTTATTCCAGTTTATCTTACCCATTCATCTACTGAAGGACATCTCCATTGCTTCCAGTTTTTAAAAACTTGAATGAAATTGCTGTAAATGTCTCTGTGCTTATGTGCATCCATGTGCATATGTGTATGTATGTGTGTGTAAGCTTTCAAATCATCTGGGTAAATACCCAGGAGTGCAATTG